TTAATAAAGAAAAATTAAACCAAATTTAACTAAAATAATTAAAATAATTAAAGAAAAAATTTCAAGGTACGGATTGCACATGGACATTAGATCTTTGTATGCGTGGACGTCGGCTTAAAAGATAGCGATGTATACACCTAAAGAACCACAGCAATTTCTGTCGCGTTGTAGTTGTTGGATCTTGACAGTTGGAGTACACTCCATTTTGTGAAGCCAGTTATAAAAACATCGTGCTTTTCTTTTTTCGTGGATTCGAAGAGGAATCCATGTTCTCGAATCGAACAAAAACACTGGCACAACCAGACACAACCAGACATAAAGGAGCTGTACTTGCAATATGGGAAAGTGCAAATATCGATTTTATCTGTTTTATAAACAAAGAAGTTAATCACCGACACCGGAAATCGCGACCAGGTGGTCTTAGGTTTGATTTCGAATTTGCCCAGGCCGCTGCCAATCACTTCTTGCGTAAAAATCTACAAAACTTGCGAAGTGGAACTATAGTGGCTACTGTTGCTTGCCGATATTTTCCGTCGGCAAAACGAGAAGTCAGTAAATGTGACCGATTCTGCAAGGGGAATTTTATTGTCTGGAGCTTGGACATGTCAGGAGAGTTTCCTTGACAGCTGGATTACACTCCATGTTGTGAAACCATTTATAAAGACATCGCGCTTTTTCTTCGCATTTTTTTTTTCACATTTCTTCGCTTCGTGATGTTACAGTATCACGGGAAATCTAACCAGATTTATGATCGAATATGAGCTCTCGGTGGGTTCTAAATTTAATTATTTGAAAACTAATCAGGTTTTGGAAAACGAACTGGGATGTCCATGTGCTTTTCACCATCTCACTCCTCCCCCACTCGCTATTTTTTGGGGCGATGTCTACGTATAAAAAGATCTAATGTCCACATGCAATACGTATCTTGAAATTTTTTTCTTTTATTACTTTAGTCAAATTTGGTTTAATTTTTCTTTAGTGATTATAAAAAAAAATGGGGAAAAGAGGTACCTTTGACCCTCGACATTGTACCAACGCCCATGAAACCCCCGACCCTCTAGACATACGAAGACATGCACATCCCTCGACGTTGCGTGACTCCTAATATGAAAAGGAGAGCAAGGAGAACAAATTGAAAGCAAAATCAGCCATGTATTAAAGCTAAAATTGTTTTAGTCCTCCAGCGGCACAAAGAAAAAAAACTATTGTCTGTTACGCAGAGGATGCAAATCCACCGGTGACGAAATCTGGCGCAGATTAAATCTTGTTTCCAGATTCTTCTCTTACGAGGGTAACTTAAGTGGCCGATCATCTGACCGGCCAATCATGACGTTCCTCACATGGTTACGAAAAACAACGGCGGGAAAGTCGGCTGATAGCATGGCGGACCGTGCGTTAACGCAGTTTCCTTTCACAATTTCGTTTGAACAACGGTTCAACTGCCTCATCTGCTGGGCTCCGAACCTTAGGATGATTTATGGATCTTGTCAGCATCGTTTGTGTGAGAATTGCTTATACGATAAACTAGGTAACAGGAAAGTCGGGCTAGAAAGATGTCCTACCTGCCAACGAGAGAATACCTTCCCGCTGACAAAACCAGATATACCCGAGGATAATGTTGAAATTCAAGCTCATCTAGGAGTGAGAAAGTGTCCAAATGGTCGTTGTAACTTGCAGATGTGGCACTGGGAGATACCCGATCATTTAGAGTGAGTTTCCTTGCTTTTTAACTTCCGTGACTGTATGTCAACACGCCAGATTATTCGTTTCGCAATCTTCCACATCATGAGCAGGGCCAGGGTTAGTGTGAAATTTGATTTCAGATCTGAAAAACTCAGTTTTAATCTTTTTGACGATCAATTTGATGATTGGATGTTATAAAAAGGCAAGAATTTTTTTCTCAAGGATGGTTTTGAGCAGATAAATAAAGAAACGTAGATTGAATTAGTCGCTAACCGGCCTTCGAACAACAGCCCAGATGAATAGGAGGGTCGATCCTTCATCGCTGGTTCAAATTCAAGCGTAAACAGAACAATAATACTGTCTTTGAATCGTAAGTAAATCGAAGTGGGTTTTGGTCTAGTTTCACTTACAAAGGCCTCAGAAATACGTCCGTTTTACTCTCTAGCTTGAAGTACAGCTGCTGTATTGATGTTTTTACGTGCACGTTCTTTCTTTACTTTTCATCGTGAGTTAATATTTTCGTCTTAACTATTTGTGGGTTGGTACGATCAGAGCATCTCATTTCCTAGAAACGAAGGAACCTTATGAAAGCCTTTGTTAAGGTAGGGTACCTTCCCTGTATGCAGAAGCCTCATCCCATAACTTCGCCATTTGTAGTCCTAGGCCCTGATTACTGACTTTTGAAATTTGAGCAAAAATACCGACAAATAAGAGATCATCGCATTAGATTACACTCGTCATATCATTATTTTAAAGATGGAGATTGCTTTTATTGGCATCTTTTGACTCTGGATTTCCTATTCTTCAATTGGTTTGGGGTCTCATTTGAGGTAAAGGGTTTGGAAATCAGTTATATCTTTTTCATAGGAAGACTTAACCCATTGTTTCACTTCTTTTTTTACCCATGCACTCCACTCAAATAAATAATGAAGGAAACCCCAAGGGCTACATGTAGTGTTCATATGCTGGGAAAATCGCACACAATCAGCAATTTCAATGTTTCCCTTTGGTCCCAGATTTTGCCTATATTCATTTAGGAGATTACCAGACTTTTGTCTTTATGGACTGCAGGAACCTTTTAGTGATGAGTGGAGCTGAGCAATAAGAGGTAATTTAGTGTTAACAACTGAGTTGAAAACATAAATTAGCCATCGTAAAGGATAAAAAAGCTGACGTTTCGAGCGTTAGCCCTTCATCAATCGCTCTGACGAGGGGCTAATGCTCGAAACATCAGCTTTTTTACCCTTTACAGTGGCTAATTTATGTTTTCAATTCAGTTGTTAACACTAAATTACCTGCTATACTCTCCCACCAATGCGGCACCACAGTTTCTTTAGAAACTTACCTCATTATTCATCAAGCAATAAGAGGATTGGTAGTGAGCTCAAACTATCACCAAAGTCTGAGACAGTAAAAGTAGGAGTTTTCATATATCTCCAGTGATCACTGATCATCGCAGAAATCTCAGAAATGTTTTTCAGAGTGATTTACAAAAAGATGACTTAACATAACTGTTGACTTAAGAATATTTTTGGGAACCCACTAGCCACAACGTACTGTTTAAAGGTATACAAATTTGTCAATACTGGTATGTTCCTTACTTTTATAATATGACCTAACCTTTGTCGCAGTTGCCATTGGTCTTTTTAACCCTTTAAGATCTAATAGTTAATTCTCCCCTTTGCTGCTATAAATTTCCCTGTAATAAACATTTGGTGTTCAATCAAGTAATAACTTCTATTTGATAAGTTTGAGCATTCTTGTTACCTGTTTGTTGAACAGTGTATAGATATTATAGGGAGAAGTTACATGTTCATTACTTATGGGAGTAAAATGGTTCAGCAGACTGTTATGTAGCCATTTGGTACAAAAGTAAGCAAATGATAAGGTTAGATATGGCCTGCTATGTTTCCAGGAGCAGGTGTACATAAATATTGGGTCTCCTGCCTTGCAGCTTTCTATTTGATCTTTTCTACAAGTTTGTAGTTCTGACTATTTTTCTCTTGTGTTGCAGAATATGTCAGGTTGTTCCCAAGTCTCAGTCTATACAAAAGAAAAGAAAAGGTGCTGATGGTTCAAACAATGTGTTTGAAAGAAAGACCCCCATGGCACTGAGAAGTCGTAAAAGTAAATCACCCAACCTTTGTTCTGATAAAAGACTGATTCGAAGGAAGACAAGATCTGGTTGCAGAAGAAACATTCATCATTCACAAAATAGGAAATAAAATAATCACACCACATAGGGTTCATGCATTGACTTGGTACATGTATATTGTACGATAAGGTAACAAAATGTTCTTCACGAATTATTTTGGAAAATCCCTTTACATCAAACACTGCTGAGAAACAAGATATAATTTTTGGACATAAAACAATTCTACATATCTTGTGCTGTTATTAATAGATTATTTTCAACGTACATAGGGCATGATTTTGATCTTCTTCTTTGATCTTGCTTTTTTTTAGTAAGCCTTGTGACTTATGCTTCACTGTATTACAATAAAGCGATAGAAGACTTAATCTGTGTCTACATGGCCTCACCTAGGCACATCAACCTATGAGAGTCAGGGTTGTCAATAAGGTTGAAAGTAGATAGCAAATGGAGAATGGTAGGTGGCAAAATTAACATAGATGGGATTTCAAAAATAAAAACTAGGAATTCTTCAGTGTGAGTGAGTAAGTTTAATTTGTGAATCATTTCATTAAATAGTAAATTACAATTTTCCACGCAGATTACTTTTAATAGATTCTGGGATCATGTCTACATAAAACTTATGGTCCTTTAGCGATCCCAGCACACCAGTTTTATTCACATAGCTATCTGCTTTAGGATCATATGTGACATGCTCTCCACACACGTCTGTCAGAGTACCACCTACTGACTCAAGGAGAGCCTCACATGCACAGGTATCCCAACGTTTGCACCCTGGGCTAGCAAACACATAGGCATCAGCAGTCCCTTCAAGCAGCAACAACACTTTATAACCTGCTCCACCAGCCTTTAATATCTTGTCAGGTTTCATTGCTTCTATTGCTTCCATTACCAACCCATTGGAGTGAGAGCGAGTTGTGGTGATGACACATCGTCCTGGGGGAGGGGGGATGTGGGTAAAACCAAAGGTGCCAAGACCTCTTACACCCCACATAGTCCTTCCAAGTTTAATTCCTTGGGTTTCATTTTCATGACCATAAAATGGCTGGTGGATGACTCCTGCTATAGGCGTGCCATTTAATGAAATACCTATAAGAACTGTGACGTGGTCATAAAGACCTGTTTGACATAAGAAAGTCAAATCAATTTTGTACTAAATTAAATATAAATTAATTCAACTGTGCAGAAGGCAGATTACAACTAAATACAAATAGCCAGGGGTTACCTAAAGATTAATTTTAACAAGCATGTATCATACCAACCATGATACCTATTGCTTCCTATTTCAGAAAAAAATCCTCTTATTTGTAAACCTGACCTCAGAAAGAGCCAGTCATACCTAAATGTAAATGCTCTAGAAATTTCCCAAGATGTCAATTTCAAAGATTTCAGGTAGGGGGCTCAGAGAAAAGGGGGGGGGGGGGGTAATAAAAACTTATGAGTCATGACTTGTTTTTCAACTCACCAAGCTTTAATAAACGATGTGTTTATAGTGTTGCTTACAAAAACAAAGAAAAAAAAGGGAAACAGTATCAAAAGTGTCTAAGATAAACATGTGTATCTTATAATGGCAAGAGGGAGGGTAGAGTAGAAAGAATTCTCAGGAAGGAAAGTGACCTTTTCACGATACAGACATTTACTGTTAGTTCAACACAAATTCTCGTACCCTCTGTAAACTCTTTTGTTCCATCTAGTGGATCCACCCAGATGGTAACCTGTATAAATGCAAGACAGTTATAGATGAAGACCTAAAAGCTTCACATAGATTGTGTAAGCAATGCAACTGATGTTGTAATAACATGCATGACTTCACTTGAGTGCTGCAAACTTCTTAAGTTCATCCTGACTTTAGTGACTGGCACAGCAGACTAAGCCAGGAATAATAGGTTTGGTTGTAGCCTAAAATCATGCTGATCATTAATTATCATGATTCTCATGGACTAACAAAAATACTTCAATTTGTACAATAAATTATCAAACCTTGGTATACAATCAATAATATTGATAAATAATGTATAACTATGAAGCAATAGTAACTCACTTCCTCTGGCTTGACTGCAATGAGATCTTCTGGACAAGCTTTAGAAAGAACTGCTTCATCTTGAGATATTTCAATAAACTCTTCTTCCATGTCTTCTAAATGAACATTCTGAAAAGATAAAATACAAGTTTTTATTGTGGATACACAGCACAATCACTCATCTGTATTATCCTAGTATATAGTATACAGGCCTTGATTGTTCGAAGATTGGATAACGTTATCCACTGAATAAATCACTATATGTCGACACTGCTTTACATTTTCAAACACTTATGTCAGATAGTGACTTATCCATTGGATAGCTTTATCCGCCCTATATACAACTGGGCTCAGATCTTTTCCACAAGCCACAAGCTTGCTACACAAAACTAAAAACAATTTTACTAAAATCAAAAAGAGTGTCTTTCTAACCCTGCTGCTACTCACATACATATCATCAACAGAACAATTGTCACATGGGAGCCATGTATAGGGCTTGACTCACTCATTATTTTTCTGTTGCTAATTTGGTCAAGCATCCAGCTATAGGTTTGATTCAAATCAACACACCTCTTCCTCTCCAATAATTTGCACAGTTGGATATGTTCTCAAGAGTGAGGCAATTATACACTTCTGAGATGCACGATCTGCTTCAGTTTGTGGGTCATATTCTCCATTGCCTCCCTGAAGCATGAAAAGTCATTTTGTTTGGTGAGGTACATATTACATATGCAAATTATTTCATTAAGCTAATGGACAGTTTTGTTCTTCTGTGAATGTTGCAATTCTCCATGGTGGCTGCAGATTATTTTACACAGAGTAGGAAGCACTCCCATAAGTTTATTTTAGCAGTCAAAGTTTTTCAATGGCATTGTCACCTTCTAACAAGGTAAGCCCAGCACTGAGGTTATCTTCTGCATTTACAAGTATTCTTCCCGCTAAACAAACTTGAGCACCTAACACAAATTCAATAACGATTTCTCCCAGAGGTCAAGAGATAGAATAAACCTGCAGGATGATACTAACTTCAAACTCAAGAAATCTACCTTCTTGCTTTACATTTCAAATATGATTTACATAACACAGAGAAAACAAAAAACAAAACAAAACTAAAAGGTAGACAAGAAGAAAACAAGTTGGATAAAAACCTTGGTATACTGGCTTTCAGTAACTCGATAAAAGAGAAGGTCAACTGTGACTTTTCACGCGTAGCAGCTGGTGTACTTTTCCAAATCATCCATGAATAAATTTTTAATGATTATGAATGGTTTACACAAACACGTCAGGTGCAGTAAAAAAACTAGCTATCAGGGTAGAACCATAAAGATTTTCACTCATTCAACAAACTCATAAAGAAATAAGAGACGATTGGACATAACCGTTCGCCAGAATTTTAAGGCCCTTTGTGGAAGAGGCAAATAATATTATTTTGCTTCATTCGTTTCATCAGCGGATCGGTTCGATCCACCTTTTAATATTAAATCAAATTGCCCCACTTTCTGACAGTATTTTATAATAAATACACAAACCTTGTCTACAACGCCAAGGCTGCCTGTTTTAAGTATGTTACGGATAATTCCACCGGCTCGATTAGCCACAGCGACAGACGAAGACACAAGGCGCATGAGAAAGAACGGTCCTCCGGCTGCCATGATGAAGAAAAAGTACAACAGTGGTTAGGAGGGGGAGGGTGGGCAAAATGGACCAAAAAAAAAAAGCTTATATATAGTTTAAAAATATGCTCAAGGATTTCTGCCTACCCACCCCTCCCCCCAAAAATAAATAGATAAATAATAAATAGATAAATAAATAAATAAGAAGACAACAATGAAAAAAACCGGCTTCCGAAAAAAAACAAATCCAACCCTCCCGTATAACTTTTCGCAAATGGTGTGTTCGTCACGATGAGCGTTGCGTGATACCTTCATTCACCCATATCTCCTACAAATATTCCGACGAGGAGGAGGAAGCTCCCACATATACCAGGCAAACACGCCTCCACATATCCTCACTTTTAATAAATCGCGACAAGTACTGGTCCATTGCTTTTTATAGAGAGTATGGAGGTGTCTAAGCCTAAATTAAGGATGATTGTTAATTGTCACGGAATCATCCTTTCCGCTCTTGGTTGTGCGGTTTGAAGTGACTGTTCGTTCTAACATGACGGCGAGCTCTCCGACGCGCTTTGTTACGGACACACTGCCCACAGATCATCAGAGGGTCACCGTTCTTCAGAGCAAAAATGGTACTTTTATGCCTTCAGTAGCCAATGGATACATTGGAACGGTGATCTACAGTGACACGGTACATGTTTCTGGGGTATTCAATGGTAAAGCTTATCCGAAGGAGAAGGATGTTTATCCACTGTATTTCTACCAACACGCTCACCGCGCTCGTATTCCTTCCACTACTTCTATCGACTTTACCGTCGAAGGAGTTCAAGGTAAAACTTCGTACGCCCTAGATGTGCTTGAAGGCGTGTTTTACAAATGGTTAACAGCCGATCGTTTGTATGTGGAACAGAGAATCTACGCGCATCGATCCCGGAAGAATTTATTGATCGTCGAGATATCTACAAAGAACAATGCTGGTAGAGAGTTCATGATGAGCCTATCTTCAAATCAAGGGGCTTCTTCAGTTGATATCGGGTTTAAAACGGCTGGTTCAAATAGACCTGGAGCTCTGGCAGCAGTTGGAATGGTACTGCATGATTCATTATATTTATTATTTGCAATTATCGGGCATGATCGAAAGTAAATGCATACATTTCTGTAGATTGCGAGGTTTTGGTACGTCCTAAAACTCTACCGTAAACAAGAAACATGTCGGTTGTGTTACTTTGGTTATCGGTGTCATATTCCTCTTGAAAAGTCAGTGTAGAAGTACCGCAGGTGACCTAAGCTCCGCAGATGACCTAAGCTCCGCAGATGACCTAAGCTCCGAGTAAAAGTATATTATTTACACTAACAAAAGTAAAAATATAGAATTTCTCTATGGGGAAAGTGTTTTTTTTATAGTAACAATATAATACAGATGTACTTAACGAAGAGCTTGCCTTTCTAGTGAGGTAATTGTGCTGTTACCCTCCATCTAACCTACTACTGTAAAAAGCGTTCAATTGCCGCCGCATTCCCAGAGAAAAACATCACACAATTATCGTTATGTATATGTCACATTTTCGTTTGTTTCATGGTCATTTTTGCCCAAGGTTACTACGTTCTGTTAGATTATTTTTTCGCATAATTTTGCCTGATTAGCTATGGTCCCTTGTTATAATTCACCGTTGATTTTTGCCTTCGCGTTTAAGCAAATGTGTTTATTCAACATCGGGTAGAAACAAATACTCCTATACTTTTGGTTTCCGACAGTTTCTACTTACACGTACCGTTCAGAATATTTATAATACCCTGAGTAGATATTTGAACAGACAGGCCAACGATTCTTCTTCGCTTCGTGACCATTTAACCATTTTCGAAATCTTGTTCTTGCATTGACTTTTATCAGGTCAACGAGACAGAGGAGGCAGGGAGCATGCGGGCTAATTTAGCAATGGTTTGGAGTGAACTTGAAGTTAACAAACCACTGACCATAAAAGCCACTTCGGAGGAGCAGACCTGGTACTACATCACCTCAATAGCCACAAACCTAGACACCAAGTTCAACCCGCTTTCTGAAGCCCTCTTTCAGTGGGACGAAGCTGTGCTGTAAGCATTAGTTTGTTTATCAAGCCTCGACATGAACTAAAGTCTAAGGCGCATTTTGTCTCGCGATTTGCCGAAATTAAATTCATCACACGTCCAATCATAGCGAATTAAAGTAAAGGTTTGAGCTGATGAATACGAAAAGCAAGGCAACCCTGTACCTTAGCTGGGTAAGTGGAGAATTTGAACCGGACCTGTCGTGCCTTTCCGATGGAATACACGTGCTTTGAAGAGTTCTCTTAAGCATGTAGATGACTCAGAGGAAAAAGCATCTTTCTCAGGTTATGTTCAGCTCAAACAACGACTGACCGCTTTGATGTGTCACTTTCAGAGTCAAAGAGCATTTACTAGAAGAACACAAAGCTGCCTGGAAAGCATTGTGGGATACTGGTCGGATTGAAATTGAGGGGGATCTAGAAATGGCGCAGGCTGTGTACGGCAGTTTGTATTACATTTTGAGCTCCACGCGACACGACTGGCCGTACGGGTTGAGTCCCGGCGGACTTCCGGCTGCAGAGGAGTATATGGGACATACATTCTGGGATCAGGACATATGGATGTACCCCCCTCTAGTGCTGCTGCACCCAGATTTGGCTAGGAGTTCTCTGAGATATCGAAGTGAACGGTTACCCGCAGCCCGCAGAATCGCCAAGGAGTTTGGATACAAAGGTAATAAAACATTAAATAAAATGGAAGTAAAAGCAGAAAGGCATAACATGATAACCGTTATGATCTAATAAGCTTTCATTGAGCATTTTTCGAGTCATGGATTGAGAATGGATTGATACATCACCTTTAGTATGAACAACAAAATAATGAACTAGTCTGATGTTATTTTTAAGCTGCCAAAGTCTGAATCCGGAAAGTTGGTAAGAATTGGTATACCCTCTGCAATTATAAGGTACTAGGTTATTTTTCTTTTCTCCTTCCGTAAAATTAGTGACTTCATGGTCTTTAAAATGCCACAGAACAGTATCTTCTGCCGATCTCATAAGACAGTAATTCTTTTTGCATGTAAACTTAACTTCTTTGTACTTTTCAGGCGCAATGTTTCCTTGGGAAAGTTCTTACACAGGCCTGGAGACTTCCCCTGGGGCTAGGTACGGCAAAAACCAGATTCATATCAATGGCGACATTGCTTTTGCTGTCATTCAGTTTTGGAGGGCGAGTAAAGACGTGAACTGGTTGCGGCAGGTTGGCTATCCACTTCTTTACCAGACGGCGGAGTACTGGGCTAGTAGAGTAGAAAATGACGTTGTCAACGACAGATATATCATTAATCACGTGATGCCACCGGATGAATATCACTACCCTGTCAATAACTCTGTCTACACTAATGTAGTGGCGAAAATTAACCTTTTGTTTGCTAAAGAAGCCGCTGACATCTTGGGGAAAGAAGTTCCGAAAGAGTGGCTGACGATTGCTGAAAAGATGTACATTCCTTTTGATAGTGAAAATAGTTACCACCCAGAATATGAAGGGTACACCTTGGACAAAGAAGTGAAACAGGCTGACACGATCCTGATTGGTTATCCACTGATGTACGAAATGGACAGAAAGGTGGGTTTTTTTTTCCCATAGTGTTGTAGGCGTGTGTTAAAGACAGCGTAGTGAAGGTATAGTCTGGCTTGAAGAAAAACCACTTTGTGCAAAACCAACGTCATTTCTGGAAATATTTTGAGTACTCAATTTTAAGCATTCCTGTTTCGCGTTTAATAGGCGGAAAGTGAAGATTTTAAGTCTCTTGCCTTTCACTTCCCTTGATGTCGTCTGTAAAAAATAAACAATAAACGCCGATTCCTGATAGAACCTAGTGCTTAGAAAGAATCACGAAGCGTTTGAGCAAGTTGTGTTTAGCATGTTAAAGAAACAACGAATACACACAATTTCCAGCAGCAACCATTATCGATCTTACTTTGAAAAAGCTTAGACACCATATTAAGATAACAGTGAACTGGGCTACACAGTAACACAAAATTACCTTCTGTTATTACGTAGGTTCGATATAACGACCTTAAACTTTATGAAGAACGCACTGATCCCGATGGACCGGCCATGACACATTCCATGTTTGCCATTGGCTGGCTAGATCTGGGAGAAAATACGAAAGCTGTGAAACCTTTCCTAAAGAATTACGCCAATATCCGAGGACCATTTAAGGTAAAACCCTCAATCTGTGAAAGGAGACCATCGAAGGCATTCAGTTTGCTATTTATTATCCTTTTCACTAACCAACGATCGAAGCATAGGAACGAGTAATGTGACATTCGTGTTGTTGGCTCGGCCTTAGGAGTCTTTGAAAGATGGCAGACCGATTAGTAAATATGGTGTATTTTACTCAGGAGGACTTTTGTGGGGATGATGGCTCAATTCTGTTTTTTGGAATTCTGACATTTTAAAAACTCCTATTTTTCTTTTATATTGTTTTAGTCAGATAACCAAAGATCTGTTCTGTGTGTTTCTGTAGGTGTGGACTGAGCGTCGCGACATCTGGGGCGCTGTCAATTTCATTACTGGAGCTGGTGGTTTTTTACAGACTATAATATATGGTTATGGAGGATTCCGGCTGAAAAGCTCTGGATTGGCGTTCAATCCTTCTTTGCCCCCAAACGTCACAAAGATGACAACCACCGTGCATTATCTGGGAAGTGTTATGGATGTTGCAGTAACTGAAGAAGCAATAACATTTACACTACTCTTCTCAGGTCCAGTTTCTCCTGGCCTTGATGTCATAACATTAAAAGGTGTATTTAGCCTCGAGCGAGATTTTCCAGTCACAGTGGACAGAGCCAAGGGTATTATTAGCGTTCGACAGGCAAAGCCATGCACACAGTTCAAGTAAGGTTTCTCATCACAAACCTATTCACATTGGCTTATTGCTGTTAACTAGCACTTTTCTATATCTCTGCCATCATTGATAATAAACATCGAAAGGGATTCTTTTCGATAGTTCGTTTGTCCCTTATTTCCTTCTCACATTTTGCGAGGATGAGATACAATTATGTTTTTTACCATACCCTATTTCGTGTGCAAATATCCCGTTATTACTTTTGATTCCATAATTGTAATAAAACCAACCGTTTTGCTTTTTTAATAAATCAATAATTAATAGATCATAAATCGATGGATACAGAAATAAATCGAACTAAAGCTGCTGTTCTTAAATTGTTTAGAAAACCTCTCTAACCCAGTCACAAATATTGTGTGATGGATGAAGGAAGTAGCAGACAAGGACGAAGGAAAGCTGAGAGTTCTACCGAAGAGTGTGTAATGGTTAGGGTTCCCTAACCTCTTAGACTTTTCGCGAACGCTTATCGCACTTTTAAAGACTCCAAGCGGTCCTTAGCAGTGGTGGATCCAGACCTTGAGCTAATGGGGGGGAGGCGTTTTTTTGTTGCTTGCCCTCCCTGTTTTTTTTTTTTTTTTTTTTCACCTAAAATACGGGAGGCCCGAGTCCCCCGGGCCCCTTCCCTAGATCCGCCACTGTTTGGTCTCCTTTGCAGCCGTTGTTTGATCTCGTCACGCAACTTTCTCAGCGTAACGAGACCAAACAACAGTTATGAAGGAAACTAAGCGGAGAACGTTGCGTGACGAGACAACGTAATCTTTGGCATCACTATTCAATCGCGGTCGAAATGTAATCGTATTCAGCTAATGGACAAAAAAATAGCCATGTTACGAATTGCGCAAGCTGTTAAGTACTTCTTTCATCCTCGGTTTTTGAGACAATGATTTTTATTGTGTGAGTAAAAAGAACAATTGTATTTTGTTACGGTTTAGTGAACTCTCTCTATCAATCATCACCGTTGTTATTTTTTAATGATTCATTCGCCAATGAGATCATAACGTAACCCAATCTTTCCTGTTAGTCAGAATGTAGCCATCTGCTGCCAATACTGTAGGTAAGACTGCGGACATCTCTTTGAGTGTGCTTCAGTTACAAGATGAACCTCAGTGGCTGTAGTGTAGCGCTTGCCTTACTTTTAGTGGGTGCTGTGCCAACAGTATACTCTATTCCGGCAGTTGGAACACCAACTCGCTTCGTCACCGACAAACTGCCAGAACAAAACAGCCCATCAACTGTGCTATCAAGCAGGAATGGAAACTTCATGGCTTCTGTTGCGAACGGCTATGTAGGCACAGTGATTTACAGCGATACAGTGCATGTATCGGGTGTTTATAATGGCAAGGCTTACCAGAAGAAGTATCCGATCTACCCAATAGACCTTTATGAACATCCTCATAGAGCGCGCATTCCTTCGACAGCTTCTCTTAATTTTAAGATCAGGAAGACCCCTGGGAATACCTCATATGCGCTGGACGTGTACGAGGGAGTCTTTTACAAGTGGTTTGAGGCGGTTAATTTGACTGTGGAGCAAAGGATTTATGCGCACAGAACCAGGAAGAATCTCTTGATTGTGGAACTAACGGCGAAGAACAACGCGGGAAGAGAATTTTTGATGGACCTTACTCCAAACATGGGATACATCACACAGGATATTGATTTTTACATGAAAGAGTCAAACAGAGCTGAAGCTCTTGCTGGCGTAGGTTTGGTATGTTTTATATTCATGTTTTCATATCTAATAGCACTATTTCAGCTCTAAGATATAAATAAATGCATTGTTGAGAGAGGGTGGACGTGACCTGGCCGATTAATTTGGACAACAATGGACAAAACATATCCATTGACTATTGTCTGCTTATTTCCGGAGCTGTAGATTACAAGGGACATCAAAGCCAAATATATTTTTGTAAACTGATAACGATGATATTCCCAAGTTCTCACCTTCAGGCTTATTCCTAACTTATAAGTCGCCATTTCAGTAAGGAACGATTTGTATTTGTCCCAATCCGGGCTCGAATAATATTTCTCGTTATATTTCACCCCTAGCCTTTTTTCCCTCAGCATACTCCCCCGCTGTATGATAAAAATTCGCTTTTTCTGTTTAAGGGCCTTATCTATTTCACAATTTCCTTTTCTCTATGAAGTTAGTTATGATGGTAAACAAATACAGTGCAGTGGCTGCTGAAATAAAATTCTACCTAATAACTTTTTGGAATATCTACGCTTCTGAAGTCGTCAGCGTGGGCGCCAGGTATATAAGCGATTACGTAATTTTCTCTTTAAACGTTCTTCGCCTTTTACTTTAGTTTAGTTTTTCGCTTTCTCGTAGATTTTGTCAATTAGTTCTATATTTTGTGCTTCGTTTCTTTCATGTGTTAGGTTTTACTTTGCTATTTGTCTGTTTCGGCTTAGTCAATTATTTTTCCTTAGTACAGGTTCAGTTTGCGTGTGTTGAAGTTTAGTTCAGGTTTATTTCTATTGAAGGACAGCGTGATTCAGTCACAATCGTTTCGACTTATTGAATCGCTTCAATTGCTTTGCTTCAACTTATTTCATCACACTTTGTCCGTTCGATTCGTTTACGGGTAAATATGATCATTAAGCGCGTAAAGACAATTGTGACTACAGTCAGGGCGTAGAAGGAAAACAACCTGACCCTGACGATGACTTCCGCTCAGATTGTCGAAATGTCACACATCAGCCCTTCTCCTTCACTCAGCGAGGATCAAGCTAAGTAGATGATATTCGCTGTAGAGAATTAAACAGTCAAGGAGGCAAACCGGCAACCACACAAAGTTAAAGAAGCCGCGGTCAAAGGGGATTATTGACAGAAGACGAAACAAACGAAATTGACTTCTTTGAATGGAGGGCGATCACCGGATTTAAATGACACGACTAGCGGTATAACTGCACTGTCAGAGGATGCACCAAGTACTGATCTTATTGTTTATTCCCTCATTCATTCAAATATAAATGTAGGTAAGACAGACTGAGGAACATGGAAGTGTTCGCCCGAACGTGGCAATTGTGTGGAAGTACCTAGATTCTAGCCATCCATTGACAATCACGGCTAGCTCAGATGAGCAAACCTGGTACTACATCACCTCAATAGCCACAAATCTGGACACCAAGTTCAACCCGCTCTCTGAAGCCCTCTTTCAGTGGGACGAAGCTATGCTGTAAGGATCTACATTATGTGACTTTGTTTTCACTTCATTATAACCGAGAAGGCTTGGATGTGTCAATTGAAAACCTTAAGACTTTTAAATTAAAACAATTCGTTGGTATGACAGAAAAACATGAAGAGGCACTAACAACGAATGACGGCGCCAGAATGTCTGAGTGGAGAAGATTATAATCATTTGCATGTGAAGAACGTGAAGAAAAAATTAGGCAATGAATTGATCCTTTTTTGACACTGTTGGAAAGAACTTACGAGCTAGACTCTAAGTAGTCCATGTAAAGAGAAATAATCGAATTGTCCTGCAACACAAATGCTTATTTTTACGTTCACTTCGTTTAGAGTGAAGGAAAAGCTTCTTGCAGAGCATAAAGCTGCTTGGAAAGCATTGTGGGATACTGGCAGAATTGAAATCGAAGGGGACCTAGAAATGGCCCAGGCTGTGTACGGCAGTATGTATTACATTCTGAGTTCCACTCGACATGACTGGCCGTACGGGTTGAGTCCCGGCGGACTTCCGGCTTCAGAGGAGTACATGGGACACACATTCTGGGATCAAGACATATGGATGTACCCCCCTCTTGTACTGCTGCACCCTGACTTGGCGAGGAGTTCTGTGAGATATCGAAAGGAACGGCTGCCCGCAGCCCGCAGAATTGCTAAGGAATACGGTTATAAAGGTAGGAAAATGAGTATATACCCAAAAACACACAAATGGACAGAGGGACAGACAGGCTCACAGACAGATCTGGGGACAAAAAGATAGAAAAAAATCTCTCGTTGGTCAAACAAAATGGCAAAGTTTAAAACAGAAGTTTAGCGCATAGGTGGAGTGACGGAACGGCAGATATGGACGCACAGACCAGCACATTGTACAAAAACCAATTATTAGTACTTGATTGGTTTTTGTCAGTTTGGCGTAAAAATAATTTTGAGAAATGGTAGATTTCTTACGTGATTTTCGAATTGCACCGCACACAGGCGCAATGTTTCCGTGGGAGAGCTCCTTTACTGGCTTAGAGACCTCCCCAGGAGAAGTATACGCCAAGAATCAGAATCACATCACGGGAGACATTGCCCTGGCCGCTAAGATGTTATGGCATGCTACTAAGGATCTTCACTGGTTGCGGGAGGTTGGATTCCCCCTTACGTACCAGACTGCAGAGTACTGGGCCAGCCGGGTGGAATACGATCCTGAGAAAGACAGATACATCATCAATCACGTGATGCCACCGGACGAGTATCACTATCCAGTTAACAATTCCTTCTTCACCAATGTGGTGGCTAAGATAAATTTGCTGTTTGCTAAAGAAGCCGCTGAAATCCTGGGCAAGAAGGTGCCTGAGGTGTGGTCAACCATTGCGGAAAAGATTTACATCCCCTTTAACAGCAAGTATAACTATCACCCTGAGTTTGAGGGATATGTTGCAAATGTGATAGTTAAACAGGCAGACGTTATACTGGTGGGCTTTCCCTTGATGTATCAAATGGATAAACAAGTGAGTGGCTTTAAGGCCAAATTGATAAGCAAGACGGGGATTTGACGGAGTAAAATAGATATTCTATAGTACCCATTCTTACTTTTTGAAATACCCTTTGTTACAATGCATTCCTGACGATGGAAAGTAAGATGTTCAAGGATTTGTACATAATGATGACTAAGCCCTCAGTAGGTGATAACAGAAGAAGTATCTATCCTTTTTAAAGTTTGAGTGGCTAGCTTTTTTCACGTATTTCCAAGAGACAAAGCTCTGCTGCTCGTTTGCGTGGCCTTAACGCCCATTACAAAATAAGAGTCAAGCAAGATATCCCTCACCTACATTTCGGCCGAATTCACCGCCTTCGTCTAAGCTAATGACCGTTACACGCGTGTAGATAACATAAAGATATAGAAAAAATTATGCACGCATATGATTTTATATATACCGTGTACTTCAAACCTGTTCCAACATGTGAGGATCCCAAAGTTGATAAAGTAAAGCATGAATATTTTAAAACATTTTGTTTTCCTTTTTGTTTTCTTCAGGTCCGATATAACGACTTGACTTTTTATGAGAGGCTTACAGATCCTGAAGGACCCGCCATGACTCATGCTATGTTTGCTATTGGCTGGCTGGAGGCTGGCGAGGAAAAGAAAGCTGAAACAGCCTTTTTCAAGAACTATGCTAACATCCAGGGTCCCTTTAAGGTAGTACCTTATACAGCTTACCCTTGGTATTTTGGAGCCAAACGATGTTTCAAACTCGCTGCCAGTTCTCTAATGGCTATTTCACTGTATTTAATGCCATTTGTTCTTATATGGATTCAAAATTAATTTGCCTTTGTAGGTGTGGTCAGAAAGGCGAAATGGCAAGGGAGCAGTGAACTTCATTACAGGAGCTGGAGGATTTCTGCAGGCTGTTATCTACGGGTATGGCGGTTTCCGAATCAGAAGTGATGGCCTGTACTTCAATTCTACCCTTCCTCCCGGGACGACTAAATTAACCTTGAGTTTACACTATCTGGGTTGCTCCCTGAAGTTTGAATTGCAAGACACCAATGTCACGTTCGCGTTAGTATCCAATGGTCCCATATCACCTGATCTAGAAGTGTCGACAAAGCAAGGTGTATTTGCCCTGAGACGAGAGAAACCTGTCACCCTGGAGACAAAGGATGGAGTGGTGCGCAAGCGCGTGAGTACAATACAATCTGAAATACCACAAAGTGTGAAAGAACTTCATAATTTCTAAAGAAGATTAAACATGTGTTCATGACTATTATCTGCTTAACACGACCAGCGCGTGAAACACCGCGTGTATCCTATCCGGCCAGACAGAATGTGTCCGTTCATGAATGGAGTCCTGCAATGTAGCATGGAGGCTGAGAACATAGTTCAATAAAAGAAGCGTGCGCTTGTGGGAGGGATCCGTGCACTATTTTTTCAAGAGATTAGCTCATGGAACTGAAAGGTAAATCAACCAATTGGAGACAGCGTCGTCGGCTAGGTATATTTTAAAAGGAAATTTAGCTAGTGACCGACAATTACTACTAGGTTTTAAGGTCTTTCATAGCTCTGGAAAGTTAGTGCCATATTTCTTACTTGACTTCTTCAGATACTTATTTTCAGACTTCACTCCTACTATACATCAATACGACGTATGGCGTAAAAGCTAGTAGTTTAGATATCTTAGTTTTTCCTTACGAAAATTAACGAGGTTTATCTAGTTTTTGACTTGAAAAACACTGGTACAGTGTTTTGTTCATCCTGGATTTGTTCATCCCCAGTGACACGTATTTGATACGTTTGAGTACAGCCAAGGTTTAAACAACTTATCGATTGAAGAATTTGTCTGAACTTTGTCCTATCATTTTATTTTCATACCTTTGACAGGCCTGGCTGAACCGAGTTAAATCGCAAATCTTTGGCCGGAGGATGGGCTCTGGAAAATAGGGTGGATTCCAGACCCCAAGAAGAAAAATCAGTGTCTGAGTGCGTGTAACTTTGAGACTGCGCAGACGCAGAATTGTGTATTAAAATACATAGTTGATATCTGTGACTGCTTGGCTTTAAACGCTCCCTAATGCCTTAATCAATTGTAGAGTATGGATTTCTGAAAGTTCTTAGATTCTCTGAGTTTGATTTACCCATAAGTTGCTACGTGTTTCGCCTCAGACCAAGAAACAATAAGGAGGTCTGTTGTTACCAAAACATGAGTGGCATCATCTGAACCGCGGATTGTTTCATCGCTAATTTTTGCTAGCATCGGCTTCGTTAGTTTTAAAGGTGAGGACGAAGTAGTTTTAATAGGCCTGTTGCGCGCTCATGCATTAGCTTGAATGAACTAAAAACTCCAAAAAGTACCAAAGCACCTGTGAGCAATAGGCCAGAATTGGAGTTTTTAACTCCATATGCGCGATTACCATGTTGGTTAGGCAACTTAATCTAGATACTTATGCGACGATTAACCCACGAACTCTCGAGGCTTTTCCGTTCCTATTAAAACCGGTTCTTTGTTTTTTTTCTCTCTCATCAATGTTCTTTGGGGAAAAACAGCAGTACACTTGATCGATTGAGTAGTGAAAGGTGAAAAGGAACCTAAATGAACGAACTGGATTTATTGTCCTTGTCTACCCCCGACAAACACTTTATGTCGACACACAAAATTCATTATTGTCCTTCAACAAAATTGAATGAATCTAATGACAGGGGAAAAGGCACACAGCAATCAATCTCAGCCATAGTTAAGTAAATTCTTCGTTCTAATATACATTTTTTAGTGCTCTTACTCTCGTTGGATCTGTTACATGCTGTTTTTTGACGACTGTGACTTCACTATCTGGTGAATGAAATCGTACAACATAACCTGGTGTTTTAGAGAATACTCCATGTAGGCCGTTAACATTGATACTATATCCTTGATTGTTTGATTGCGGAAGTGAATAAGTCCTTTGCATGGGTTTCAAAAAGGCTGCTCGAAAAACTGAGGTTGAGGGTCTTACCAGTGAAGGGACTTTAACTGCTACCTCAGGAACAGTCAAGGGCTGTGAAATGTAATATTGCGGAACCAACAAAGTGTTTTGATTGACAATGTTTCCATAACTGAATCGTAAACGCTGCAGCATTTTTTGTCTTATCCGAGCGGAATACGCCCTTAGCTCATTCATGGCCTTAAGATGACGTTCTTGATATGCAAGGGCGGCAGTTGGATCCTCGATGCCCCCATGAATACGTGTCAAGTCTTGGCTCATTTGATCCGATATCTCGTAAGGTGAAATGTTTTGATTTTCATCATGTTTTATCTTTTGCAATTGTGATTCTTGATTTTCAATTTTCACGGGTTTCTTCTCTTTGGCGTTATCTTCGTCTTCATTAGCGTCCTCTTTATCATCATCTGGTTCATCATCATCGTCTCCATCATCAGCATTATTATTATGGTCATATCGAGATTGCTCCTTTGTTTCAAGGTCATCTGTGTGTGGCAGCTTCTCTTCGTCTGTATCATCAGGTCTCTCCTTGTTATCAGTACGATGTACGCTATTGCGATTGCTTCTTGGGACAGAAATATCCTCGTTTTCATCCTGTTCAGAATCATCTGTGATTGGTGGGTTTGAATCCGAGTCAGTATCAGTTTGCATCAAGGTCTCCAACAACACCTCGTCCTTCGTCTTACTCTGAGTGGATCCTTTTCCTTCGCTCACTATTTCAAACGAATCCCTCGGTGCACTAGACGGAACTTTAACAAAGGATGCTTTCGGTGCGCGGCTGTTTCTAACTTCCTGCTTAATGAAAGGACTCTTCTGAAAAATTTGCGGAGAAATCTTGTTTGGGAAATTGTGGTTAGTACGCTTATGGTGTATACTTGCCTCCTTTTTTTTAATTTTTAGGCTGTACGTTCTGCTCAGTAAAGCAAAGCTTCTCTCGGTAGCCTCTCTGGTAGTCTGGTTTGCTTTTAGGTTCCGCCCGATAACTTTATATTTGCCGTTAGCAAGCAATTTTTCCTCCTTCAGGCTTCCTCGAAGATTTTTCTGCTTCCCTAATTCCTTAAGACGGTGTCTGTGATGTCCTGAAAGAATTATTTGAGAAAATTGATAAATGTATACCTATCAATATTTGATTTATTAGTTATGTTACTTTGCAAACTCTTTTATGGCAGGGAAGGTGAGTATGGCAAGCCTATTGGTCGACGAGTACCAGAGCTTATCCCTTTTTTCATAGTTTGGCATGAAAATAAGTATTTCCTCATTTCGGTGAGAAGGCTGGTCCATTACAGGGTTGCTACTGGTGACTCGTTAAGTTTCGTTGACAACTCGCTGATACCCATTCATATTCCTGAGTAAGGAGGTACCGTGAGCTTATGGACAGACCCCACTATCTACAGTCCAGCTTCTAGCCACAAAGTCTGTATGTCTTCCTGTTTACACATAATCTTAATAAATTCTTGAATTGTTCCATACAACAAAAGGTGCTCATAAAACGCATCAAAACTCATCGCATTACCCTTCCCAACAGATAGACTTCTATTAGCGATCCGTAAGGAAACTGAACAATTTAATCAGTTTCGTTTAGATGTCTTAATTTGACATACTTTGTTGAGATACCGTAAACTGCCGCCTATAAGCCCCTACTCCTTACTCCCTCCTCCCCCCCCCCTCCGGTTGTGGGCCTATCTACCTGTAAACATAAAAGTACATTTGATCACATTCCCCCCATCCCCCTATACGAGCCCTCCTCTAGCTTTAACTTGTTTTGAGGGATAGTGAATCGGTGTGAATCAGACATATAAATTTCACTAATAGGAAAGCATTGATGGACTTCCGTTTCGTTATGTTCCAGTTTTGTTAACGTTGTTAGTTATAGTTCTGTTCCAAATGTATTAAAAGAATCCGATTTATCATGATGTTTTTAAGTTTAATTAAAAAACAGCAAATGCTAAACGTATTTTGATCAACGTTGCTATAGCTCGTTTCAAAGTCCCTTTTCTATTCAGGTTATAAGCCCCCCTCGGATATAAGCTCCTCCGCTCATGAACCCTCTTAAAACCTCTTTCGAAGTTGTATAAGCCCCGGGCTTATAAGAAACGGTTTAAGATAAACGCTGTACACCGAGGAACGGTTTAAGGATAAGGATGTAAGGAGCCGGGTTGGGTTGTGAAGGAAATTTTTAACTGCGCTATTGATTAAAAGAGGTACTAAGCGGTATCTAACACAGGATATAGCTGTCAATTATCTCACATTTTGAAGAATGGTGACCTGAATTTTCTCTCTCAAATCTGTCATGTTATGATTGTATCGAGGCAGACTAAATCGTGTGTATTGCGAGAGGTGAGAAATTAGATACTGTAATTTGATAAGGATTAGAGTACAGTCGAATACAGTCAACAAAGAACAGCATCGTTTTTGTCTACAATTGGATGCAGGAGCGGCAGTTCATTTTACCTTTCTTTGCTTCAAGTCCTTCAGAAACGGAAAGAAACAGCGAAACGACTCCTAAAACAAGCAGCACTTGCATGGAGAATTACGGTTGTTATCCACAACACCAAGATGTTTACCTTTGAAAATAACTGCGTGGAATTGACATGGCTGTGGAAGCACTTCGTGTAAGTGGTTCTCAGTGTTAAGTTCTTCACGCGTAACAAATAATCCACTTAAACGGGAAAGATATGTGAATGGTCACCAGCTGATAATGAAACATCACCTGCCGAGTGTGAATGGTTCAGAGCGGATTAAGGGACAAACGGAAAATCTAATAGTAACTGGTGTGAATAGGTTGTTTAAGTCAACTAGTCTTATTTCGAGTACATGATAGCTTGTCAAACTATTTGCCATGACAGTTTTCTGATATATGTACAACTTCTTTAAAGCTAACAGTTGGAAACTTATGTCCTTATTCAAAGTACCTTGTATATTTAATGTCTAATTTCTTCAATCATCTGGTCATTCCTGTCCCATTTTCACTAGTCCAGGCATCTAAGAAGTTGTCCTTAGCTCGACATCCGTCACCATTCAGTGGAATAAGCCGGAGCTCTTCATAGCGGCCGGTCTTGATAAAAGGATGGGAGCGGGGTGTTTCAACAAAACTTCACGAAGTGTTAGAACGTCGACAAGAGCAATAGCTGGAAGGACATCCCGAGCTTAGCGGAAGGGACCAAGAATCTAGACTTGTCGTTTCAGTTTTTCTGAATATTTAATCGCTGAGTTTTCTGATCGCCCAACCATTACTGCTAACTTCTTCTAACAGCAGGTTTACCTCTCTCACTTCTCCTCTATTTAATTACCAACTCTATAGTCTACGTTTCATATAAACCATCACTGGGCGTAAGTGGGCACGCGGGTCATTTCGGTATTTCGGTACGAAAGCCCAAAACAAGTGCAGGTTCAAAGCAATTTCTGTCGAAAAACGTCATTTTTCGATAATCCGTCTTAACTACGGCCAAGGACAACCCACTTGACCACGAAATCAATCTATTTACATAATAACTATGAAAAAATTGGATAAAACTAGACAGTTCTGAGGGAACGGTCTTTTTTTCGCTTAGGTGGGGTTGGAGGATATTTGTTGTGTCATAATAAGGTTGACCTGATTAAAGAATCATTCAAAATCAGGAAACGCATTACAATAGCAAAAATTGAAGTAACCATGGAATTCAAATCCTAACCAAACCAAGCGCTAAATCATAAGTACCTAAATAATTCACAACAGAAGGATCAAGGCAAGAATGGAATGGAAAAGGTTAGTAACAAGGACTCATCGCCTCACTTGGCGCAGATCTGCCGGTAACATGACGTCTCTCTTCGCGAATTGAACACCTGGTGCATGTCAACAATGTTCGGCGTTAATCCAAAGACTCTTGTCCAAAATGTAAGAGAAAAAAATAAGAGAGTTGAGGGACAGTTGCACAGCTTGTCACAGTAGGTGGGATGTGTTTGCCTGCAAGCCACCTCTCTCGCGAAGTGAGGGAGATTACCAAAGGGGAGCTTGCTTGTAGGATTAAGATTTGCAACAATATTTAAGTTTAGTATATGCCAAACAGGTGAATAGTGCTTTTCGCGAGCGTTG